TAATATTAATAATAATTATATCGCATGGTCCGGCTCAATTTCTAGCTATTCCATTTTATGCTCACTTTCTATGAGGACCGACCGCCGACCGAATGCGAAGTGATTTTATTGCAGCATAAACGGATAGCCAGATTAGAGCGAGTTAACATGCATGCTCATTTCTTGATGGTTCAATTGCACTACTACTACTATACTGGTTTAGTATTCAACTGTTTTAAAGTCTTGTCCAGCTGAAGAGGAACTCAGAACTGTCCACTTCCTTCTTACTCCGCCTTCGACTTCTGCCCTCAGCCCTTCACACATTCGCACATGCCATGAGTTCTGCTAGCTCCTCCTCCACACTTTCAGGTCGATTTCGTGCAGCATCCGTTTACTGATTGCGGCTCATTTGACATTTGTGGCCAGCAGCGGCTAATGGATCCGTTATTGGAATTTGCGCCTTGTCCTCGCTGTTTCGCATGTCCAGCAACGGTTTTTGACTGGGCCCATTCAAAAACGCATTTTGACCCCGGAGGAGCTTTCGTTTCCCCACAATTTCACCACGGCGTATGCGCAGACCGAAAAAGCTTTTTGGGGCAAACTTTTGAAATGTTTTGGTGTTTGGGCGCCTGTTGGCGGTTTCATTGACGTCGCGGCGCTGCTGGCAATCGGTTGCATTGGCACGGCACAAACGAATCGAAAAGAAGACCAAACCAAAGCCGACAGGTGCGAAATTGAACGAAACGAATAAATGTTTCGAAAATATTGAAATGCAGTTGAAATTTTGAATATCTTTTGAAAGTAAAACCCATAAAATATCAACACGTGCATTTATTGTGTTTAGTTCTGTCTGTGCTTGTGAGTGCGTGAAGTGTGTTGAAACGAACAGTTCCGAAGAAAAACATCATTCAAGTAAATATTGAAATCGATTTGGGGTAAGTTTGGCCACTATAAATAATTCGTATGCCTCTAAGCGGCGTGATTTATGTGCTGTGCATTGCAAAATCCGTTTATAAATGATTGCTCATTAATGAATTCAAGTTGCTGGCGTTTATCAATGAAATGGGTTTCTCCAGAAGCCGATATCAAAATTCAATTCTAACTGGCTTAATCACCTGTTAGGCTGCTACTCCAAGTCAATCTCTACCTGTTGCTCTCGACTCTTGCGTCTGGGGAAAAAGTAATTAAGTAAAATGCTCAGCCAAGACGTCAGATTCAGATTTAGGTTTTACGTCACCGTAGCTCAAGCGTTTCTATATATGCAATAAATTATATAATTTTGCTGAAGCAGTTACGTATCGTGGGTCAAGAGTTCTGGGAACATTTGCTCACGGCTTCAAGTGGAACTCTGACACCTGTAATTGCAAAAGAACAGGTGCTTGACACATTGATTGTGGCCAAACGCAAATCAAAGAAAGTCTGATTTGAGATTATGCCAAATTACAGTTCCACTTAGGTATTCAATTCTACTCAATTCTCTATTCAATTCTCTTCATTTACATTTGATTAATTTGATTGAGCATATAAAATGTATTTTTATTGTGTTTATACTCTTAAGACTATAAACAAATTGGCTAGCAAAAGTATTCGTTTCTGCAGCTCAGTTTCACTTGAAATCATAAATCATGTTCCTAAATTGATTTAATGCGATTACAAATAGCGATATATAGTTATATCAGAGAACCATATGAAACGTTGCTATGTTACGATAAAATATAATCTTAATCCCCTCTAAATGTAAAGTTTTGCAAATCGTTTGATGCATTAACTGAAAATGCAGTCGCAATTGCAATGCTGGAATTGGAATGCTGCAGTTTAGGTGCAACCTTTGCACGTATCCAGTTTTATAGTTCAGTCAACAGCAGCAGCTAACCTCCCTCTCACCCTCTCTCTCTCTCTCATACACTACTACTGTCCGCTGGCGATGGCACTCACAAATCGCTGGCGCATTAATTAATTAATAGTCAGCAATATTCGTATACGAGGCGAGTCTCTAATATTTACACATACACACATGCCTGTGGCTATCCATGTATGTACATATGTATGTGTGTGTGCCCATAAAGACGGGTCGTTGCGGTTACTATTGTTGACTGTTGTTGTTGTTGTTGTTGATTTGCTATTTCAACAAGCGTTCGTTGGCAAAAACAATATACAAATTTACTTGGACAAAGTCTGATGTGTCTTTCTCTGTGTTTGTCTTACCTTTAGTTATTTGTTGTTGTTGTTGGTTTTCTAATAAATTGTGAAATTGTATATCGAATACACATCGATCCAGATCCGGACAACCTTGATGACGGCAACACGGTCGCCGCCACTTCCATTGCATGCGGAACACATACACACACACACACTCGCACACACAGACACAAGTTCCAGCTGCCCCACAGCAAGCCAGTTGCAGTGTTGCCTTTCCAGTTGAGGCGATTGTGATGTAACCATTGTCGGCTGGGTTAGTTAATACGAAAAAAAGTGGAGAGAAAAAAAGTGATTGGCTGACTGGAAAATTATGCACAACTGGAAAGGCAACGCCGTGATCACGCTGAGCTGAGCTGAGCGGCTGTGCCGAGAGCATCGTTGGTTTCCGCATGGGCGCACGCACTCGCTCTCCCTCTCTCACTCTCTGCTCACTCCCTCGCTCGCTCACTACATCCCGCTTATCTGTGAGCTACATGTGGAGCAATTGCGTCTTTGGCCGATGATTCATACACAATTCGGGGAATCCGAAACCGAGCCCAATCAAGTGCTTCAAGCCAAAGCAACGTCAAAGCATCAGGTTTTGTTTTATGCTTCTTCTTTCTATTCAGTCGTTAATATGGCTAGTCAAAAAAAAATAAAAAAGAGAAGAAGAAGAAGCTTGTTTCATCGAGCGCTGATTGTTGAAAAGCAAGTTTTTGTTTGTAGTTTGGGTAATGTGAGTTATTCAAGAGCTCAAGGAGGAAGACTCCACTGTAGTCTGATATGAATATGAAAATGAATGTGCATTTAGTTTCGGCTTCTTTTTGTGGCTTCTGCTAAATTCTCTGATTTGTATATGCATGTTTCCACTCTGGCATTTAATAATACCACATAGAGTATTGCTCAGTCGTCCATGTCTGACCTGATTGCTTAGCAGTTCAGTTGTCCAACGTTTGAGTTCATTTTCATTTGTAATTTGCTCATCTTGTGTGTTTTTTTCAATAGGCTATCGATACTTTGGAACTCTCTCCTCCCCCGCCTCATTCTCTGCCTTTCTCTCTCTCTCTCTTTCACTCTCTCTCTCTCTGCTCTGTTTTGCGAGTGTCTTGAATTTTAATGGTTTGTCTTGAGGGCGTCGACAGCGCCGACCTTTTGCTTGGCTCTTTTGTGTGGCCTGCATATGAG